AAATATCTATTTTTGACTTTCTATATATAAACAAATCCACCTGAAGCTTTTAAAAAGCACATTGTTTTGATTTTTTTATTTTTAAAAGGAAAAATATTCCTCTAAAAAATTACTTTGGACTGTTACTCCATAAAATATTTTAGTCCTGCAAAACTCAGGAATATCCATGCACTTCAAGGAACTCAGAATGAAGAAGCTGTAGTTTTTTTTTTTTTAAGATTTTATTTATTTATTTATTTGAGAGAGAGAGAGAAACAGCATGAGAGGGGATAGGGTCAGAGGGAGAAGCAGGCTGCCCGCTGAGCCGGGAGCCCGATGCGGGACTTGATTCCAGGACTCCGGGATCATGACCTGAGCCGAAGGCAGTCGCTTAACCAGCTGAGCCACCCAGGCGCCCGAAGCTGTAGTTAACCCAAACCACAATAAAGAGTTGAAAATACTGTCTGCCTGAAAAGTCTTTTTCTTTTTTTTTTTTAAGACTTTATTTTTTGACAGAGAGAGTGAGAGAGCACCAGCAGGGGGAAGAGTAGAGGGAGAGGGAGAAGCAGACTCCCCACTGAGCAGGGAGCCAGCACCCTGGGATCACGACCTGAGCCGAAGGCAGATGCTTAACCATGTGAGCCACCCAGGCGCCCTGAAAAGTCTACTTTCTTAATTTTTATTATATGTATAGTATCAAGTATCACTTTAAGATACTCTGAACGTATTTGCCTCTAACTATATAAACTCTTAGAAGTACGGAACTACAAGTGACCAGATTTATATACACCAAAAGAATTCTTGAAAAATTAAATACATATAAATAAATGTAGAGGTACCACTCTTATTATGCTACCTAATCAAATGACACTAAACTATAGGTAATGGGATAAATGGCTCTTTCAAAATAGTCAAACACTACTCTGGGACAGTGATTTCTACTTTAGCACACTTGCATTAACTTCTACTCAGAATGTCCTAGAAAAAGAATGAGACATCACTAACATCTAAATAGAGATCTTCTTAAATTTTAGTGGTAAATACAATACTTTGCTATTTTTAAAACCTCTTAAATTTGGCAGTTTCCTATTCATTTCTTTAATCCTCATACAACATTCCCTTGGAGGCAGATCTCTGAGTAGACATTACTGGACTCTAAGAAACTCAAGATCCCGTGACTACCTACGTGACACTGTCACTCTATTTCTACCCTACAAGACAGTCTTAACAGGTACCACTACAGTCGCCTTCTCCAATGTAAGCTGTTAGGCATTCCTCATTCTCACAAGTGAATTTTAATTCTACACATTCTGAGAGAGCAGCAAATATGTGTCAAGATTTAGGTGGGGACCCCTGGCCAGCTCAGTCTGTACAGCAAGCAACCCTTGATCTCAGGGCTATGAGTTTGAGCCCCATGTTGGGTGTAGAAATTATTTTAAAATAAAAAAAAAAAAGATACAGGGTTATCGTTTTTAGTGAAGGAAATCTTTTCATTAGTTTACTGAACTCCTACTGTGAAAAAAGATTAAGCTTTACACACACATATGCATATATATGTAAACAACATGTAACATTATGCATTCAGTACTTTTGGGGGCACATAGGAACAATACAGAAGTTTAAATAGTCCATCTAGCCTAACTTTACCCCCCCAAACCCCAAGGTGATTAGAAATACTAAATACACTATCTCTTGGAAGCATAAAAATTCTACAATATCAAAAACAGCCATCTCCCATATCTTCTCTTATTTCCATAAGACATATCCGTCTAGGCATTAACATTTTTCTTTTCCCCATTGCTAGATATATTCTGTGGATTGCTGGGAAGCCTGGAATGAAATACAAGAAAGAATGGAGGAGAGGGATGCCTGGGATAGCTCTCCCACAGTAACAATCTTCCTTTATGTAACCTCAATAGTGGTTCAAAGCCTAAGAAAGTGAAAGAGATTGGTATCTGAATCTCGGCTCCAAGCTTACTGAATGAACTTGGGCGAAGGACTCATCCTGTAAACCTCAATTTTCTCATCTGTAAAATGGAGCAAAAAACAGTATCTTATAGTTATGACGATTAAATAATGCATGTAAATAATGCATGTAAAGTGGATAACATAGTGCCTTGCACTAAGAGTTCAATAAGTTGTCATCTCCAAATCTGCTTTAAAAAAAAAACAAAAAACTTTCCCCTTCTTTCTCAGATAAGAACTGGTAAAATCGAGAGATCCGAACAAAGAATGAAAAAGAAATTCAGAGAGATAAAACCGAAAGAGCTCTGAAAAGCCCCTCTTCGTTCCTGGGAAGGGAGACAGAAAACACCAGAATAAAACCAGACCTACTCGTTTCCTGCCGCAGGACTGAAGAGCAAACACTGACGGGTGTGCACAAAAGTAAACAAACTCGGTGGCGCCGCCCTCTCCTCCCAGAGCTGGAAAGGAGGTGCTGGGGCGACTCAGAGCCGGGGGCTCGGATTCCTGCAGGAGGCGCAGGGTAAATCACTCGAGCCCCCGCGACCTAGCTCGTCCCCCTCTGCATTCCCGGTTCCCTCTACGAGACCCCCGGGCCGACTCCCTCACCTCCACCAGCCGACAGCTCCCGGGAACAAAGTGGATGGAAAGCTCATTCTCCCGCCCCACCATGCCCGCCGTCTCCGCGCCGCCGCCGCAGCGACCGCCACTTCCTCCAGCCCAGGATCGCCACGGGCCGCAGCTCCGTCGCCCTCGGCCCGCCTCCCTAGGTCCGGGCCGGCCCCCGCTCTCCGCTTCCGGCTTCCGCCGCCAAGGCCTCACCCGTTGATTGGCCACGCTCAGCCGTAGCCCCCAGAAAGGGGGCGGGCGCGTTCAGTACGCTCCCAGCCCACTCGCCAACTCTTAAAGGGATACACAAAACAAAGGCCTTGGCCTTACGCACAGAATACAAGTTTTGTTTGGGGAGGAGTTGTTTATTTTATGTACTTTTTTCTTTCTTTGTCTTTGTTCTAGACTAGGGAAGGATTGAATTGGATCGCCTAAAGTTTCAGGTCACCAGACTGTGCAGTGCGTAAGAATCAACTGGGCATGTAATACATAAAGTAGGAGAAAACATTTTAAAGCCAGGGGGTGGGTTTGGGGAAGACGAGGAGGAGGGAGGAGAGTGGACATCTATCTCTGCAGCATTAGGAGTGTTGTTTTGTTTTTTTTTTTCCCCAGAGGTTTAGAAAGACAAAGACTAAAAACACAAGTGTTGGCATCTGAGTCATTAACACCTCAACAACCCATTTGTCTTTCTGGGATGCTAAAAAGTGGTACGTGTGAAATTCTCCAAATAAGTCAAACTATTTTTAACTAGTTAAAAATAAAAGGGGGGGGCGCTAGGGGGAGTAATTATCCTGGTGCATCTTCAAAACACTGATTCTCGGACTGTACCCATAAATACAGAACGAGAATCTATGGGTAGTAGAGCCAGGGACTCTACATTTTAGCGGAATGAACAGGAGTCCAAACCCCATCCAACCCCCTTTGAGAAGCAGTCCCATCAGGAGCTGCCCCGTCGGGCTCCGCGAGCTTGGCCTCCTCAACCACAGCAAATTAAATAAGAAACCAAGCGGAGAGAGTAATACGACACTCCACCACTTGCATGGCTTCTTAAAAGTAGTGTATCAGAAACAACAGCCCTGAGTGCTGAGAAAGACACCTCGCAAGCAACTGGTTTCCCTCCCAGCTCAAAACTGCAAAATCCCCGTCAGTCGGGACGCCTGTGAAATTTACTCAGGAAGAAAGCCGCTCGCCATGGACCGTGTAGGGTTCGCCAGCATTGCTCCCAACAGTCCCAAGTGTTCTTACCTAGACACGCCGGATACAAGGTTTAAAAGTCGCCCACAGACATGACCGCTGCTTGGATTTTTCTTAAAAGGCCTTATTTTTATAATCCCTTTTGGTTTATTTCAGAAGTAAAGACTAAGGAGCCTTTTGAAAAAGTTTTTCTTTGTCTGAGCCCTGTGAATTTCCTTTCTACCCAACCCCCCAACAAGAACTCATTTCTTTATTCGAGTAAACAATCTTTCTTTGGAACCGTGGGGGAAGAGATCCTGAAGCCCCTCACTGTCCTATTTTCATTTGTACCCAAAGTGTTACTGTTAATCAGTTTAGCATTATTCAGAGAGTCCTTGAGAGGACTGCCCCAGCATTAAACATTCGTAATCTGCAAACAAAGAAAAGGTGAGTGTGGGTGGGTGGGTAGGAGAGGCAAATTCAAGATCCTCCTAATCGTTCTCTTGAAAAACTGGGATTTTTGTTGTTGTTGTTAATTTCTAGAAGCAACGTGTGATGCAATCTGATCGTTCTGGTAAGAAAAAAAAAATTAAGTGTACAGTGCGAAGATTTAAGGACATGCATATGCAATTACTATTTTTTCAATCTCCGAGCAGCCTTGTCCAGAGTTAGGAACAAGAGTTTTCTTGCCTACCTTTGAAAATTTGGTTTGATACCTCCCAGGTAAAACCTGAGTGTAGTTCTAGAGGTATATGTTCATGTATAGTTTTTATTCATTCTCTTTAAAGATGAAAGTTTCTCTGCGAACAAAAATGCCATCGTTGTACAGACAATATCCAAGTTCCTGTGGTGGCTAAGTCTATAAATTCTAAGGGAGCAGGCTGGAGCTAAAGTTGTTAGCAGATTCAGTTCATGCTAAGACAAAGAAAGGCTGGAGCACATAACTATAGATAAAATCCTTACTTATATAGAACCTTCACCTACACATCATTGCATTTAGTCTGATAAATGAAACTGCTGTTCTGTTTTGCGTTTTATTTTTGTCAATTAATGAGACTTAGCTGAGCTTCAGAACCTGGTTTCTGGGGTCAGTAATTTAAGTTGGTATATTCTTCCATGTCCCAAAGTTACATGTTTTAAAGAAATGAATGACACCCGCTTCTTTTTTCTTTTTCTTTTTTTAACACACCCTTGTGGTTTTTACAAGACATTCACTAGGATGCTTTTTAAAGAAACTAACTCCAGAATGCTTCATTTCTTGAATAGCTAGCTCTTACCTGTTCCATGTCCTCCAGCATTTCAGGCATGATTCCAAAATTATCTCAGGAAAAGAGATTTGGGATGAGTCTCAGCCTCTGCCTCTTCTGCCTGGGTCTTTGTTCTGCCTGAAGAGAGCGCAGGCACGCAAAAACGTGAGCCTCAGCTTCACTCGACCTTTTAAATTAGCATTTTGATTCCAATCCCAGAATCTCATGCAGTTTTCCACATTGCAGTAAACTGGCAGCTGATTCCCCCTGGCAGTGTTGAAAATACCCAATGAGAAGTTTCATGTTTAATTGCATGTCAAGTTAGGGTCCATTAGCAAAATCATTAGGAGAACCAATTAAAAATGAAGAAGAAACAAAGAAACAAAAAAACTTCCTGTGAAGACTTGTTGCAATTTTCTCTTGCAGAAGAAAAGCAAGAGCTTACAGTTGGAAAGCACACAGATCATGCAATTGATTCGTGTTCTGAAATATTTTATTCAGTTATGCCTTATTGCAACAGAACCTGAAGTTTTTCCAGTGCTTTTCTGCCCAGTGCCTTCTAATTAACTATTTCAAAGGACAGTAAAAGGCACTGGTGGTAACAGCACCCAACAATTAAAATGCAACAGGTCATTTCTTTTTTCTTTTTTTTTTTTTAAGATTATTTATTCATTTGAGAGAGAGAGCATGAGCAGGGAGAGAGGCAGAGGGAGAGGGAGAGGGAGAAGCAGGCTCCCCGCCAACCCAGAAGCCCGATGTGGGGCTCGATCCCAGGACCCCAGGATCATGACCTGAGCCGAAGGCAGACGCTTAACCATCTGAGCCACCCAGGCGCCCCTGCAACCGGTCATTTCTATTAACACTATGCTACCTTCGGACTGAGAAGATGGTAGGTGGAGTAGCTCTAAGTTTGGCCAAGCATTAAGGATTTCTAGATAAATGATTCACAAACTTGCCTGTAGCACAGAACCTATGAAACAAAATCATTCTGTAGGAGTGAAGTCCAGTAATCTTATTTTTAACAATTTCAAGGACAATGAATATACTCAGTTACATTTTAAACCACTCTTCTGGACTATGGCTTTGTAACAATTTAAGAACAACAACAACATGCCATTTAGATAGAGCAAAGAAAAAAACACTTAACTCTTCGTATTCTAGACAGTTCAAGCACACAGCGCACAGTAAATTCTAGAGACGTGCAGAAGGTCTATAAGTCATGGAGAACTATGCAATTTTAAAAAATTGATACATTTTATCAAAATAAAAAACTTATCAACAGACAATATTAAAAAAATAAATAAGCAAATCACAAACGGGGGGGGGGATCTTTATACATATATCTGAAAAGGACTTCTAGTCAGAATATTTAAAGAACCCCTGCTGAAACTGCTTAAAATCATAAAGTTGAGGGGCACCTGGCTGGGTCAGTTGCTGGAGCATGTGACTTGATTTCCAGGTGGTGAGTTCAAGCCCCATGTTGGGTATAGAGATTATTTAAATAAATAAATAACTTTTTTAAAAAGTGCATAATGGGTGCCTGGGTGGCTCAGTTGGTTAAGTGACCCACTCTTGGTTTCTGCTCAGGGCCTGATCTCATGGTCTCAGTGCTCAGCAGGGCATATGCTTGAGGTTCTCTCCCTCTCCCTCTGCCCCGCCACCCTCTCTCATGCTCTGTCTCTCTCTCAAATAAATAAATCTTTAAAAAAATTAAAATAAAAAAACTTAAAGCATAAAGTTGAGCAAAAATCAAATGGCTGCACTAATGCTTTCCTGAAGCTTGATTTTAAACTGAGTTGAGTATCATTTTTCCTCTCTTCCACAAACCTCCCTCCTCCCTTCTGCAAATCTCCCCTCTTCTGTTCTTGGCCTTTTGTTTCAGGAACCCAGTACCACCCTGAAAACTACTACATAGGCTGGCAGCACATACGCAATTCTTGTCAAAACTGGCTAGCTCCTCTTTTTCCCTATGAAGCCTCCAGCCCTTTTTTCTAGGGGGGCTTGCAGTTTTGAAGGCCATAGCCTGCTGCAGCTTCCTTTGCCCGACCAAGCAATAAAGCTATTGTTCCTCTATTCCAAACTCTGTCTTTGTGTTATTTTTTAAAAATCATTTTAAAAGTGGATACATTATCAACAGATAACTTCACAAAGACAAAGAATGGCCAATAATTATGTAAAAAGATGCTCAACATCTGGGAAATGCCAATTAAAATCATATTGAAACACTGTCATCAGCCAGACCCCAAGACTTGACCTTTACTGCTCACCTACTCATACCCACCGACCTTTGTCCCACATTTTTCCTTAAGCTCTTCTTTCCAGCTTAACTCAACTCAGGCAAAAGACCTGAGGAGCAGCATAGCATCCACCCGGTGATGGAAACTGAAACTACCCTTCAAGCAATAACAATTGACTGGGCAGAGTTCCCCTGAGTACCACCCAGAGCAGTTTGAGCTCAAACCCTGGCTCACACCTGCACAGATGGACCACGGAGTGACCTGTGGAATGACCGACAGTTACCTTTCCCTCATTATAATACTCTATTATTATATAATATTATATAAAATCTCCACCCAAGGAGGGGGGAACACAAACCTCATTTACTTAATATATAATGTATGTACAGGCATGTTCCCTTTAGATGCATGTGTGACCTTATGCCTGCCTCTACGTGCGATGATCAGGCTCCCTCCTAAATATTCATCCTAACCCTAAATAAAAGGAACCCCATTCACCCTTGTTTGGGGACTCACGGCTTTGGAAGTTATTCCCTGTGATCTCCTTATTTGCTGCAAATAAGTTTACTTTGTACAACAACTCCGCCTGGTGTAGTTCCTATCTGTGACTTACCAAAGAGGGAACTTGTGTTAGTTCAGTTACAATACCATTACATACCTAACAGAATGGCTAAAATTAAAAAGACTGATAACATCATATGCTAACAAGCATTTTTGGCAACTAGATTGCTCATTCATTGCCAGTGGGAGTATAAAATGACACAACCACTGTAGAAAACTGTGTTGGGCAATTTATTATAAAGTTGAACCCTAAATCAGTAATTCCATTTCTGTATGATTACCCAGGGGAAATGAACGCGTATGTACGTAAAGACTTGCACAAGAATATTCATCGCAGCTTAATTCAAAATAACCTAAAACTGGAAATAAATCAAATATCCATTAATAGATGAATGGATAGACTGATAGATTGTGGTATATTCATAGTATTGGAATATTACTTAGCTATACAAAGAAATGAACTATATGAATGAAACTCAAAATCATTATGCTGAGTTAAGGAAACTAAACACAAGAGTATGATTCCATTTATGTGAAATTCTGAAACAATCGAAACTATGGTAAAAGACACTAGCTTGGGGGAGGGGGAAGGATTGACTGTGAAGGCCATAAATGAACTCTCTGAGGTAATGGAAATATTTTATATCTTATTTATTTTTTTAGTTCTATATCTTCATAGGATATGGGTAACAAGGGTATATATGCTTATCAAACTGTAAGACTTAATATTTGGGGGTGGCTGACTGGCTCAGTCGGTACAGCATGCAACTCTTGATCTCAGGGTCATGAGTTCAAGCTCACGTTTGGTGTATAGGTTACTTAACCAACTTTTTTTTTTTTTAAAGATTTTATTTATTTATTTGAGAGAGATAATGAGATAGAGAGCATGAGAGGGGGGAGGGTCAGAGGGAGAGGCAGACTCCCTGCTGAGCAGGGAGCCCGACGTGGGACTCGATCCTGGGACTCCAGAATCATGACCTGAGCCGAAGGCAGTCGCTTAACCAATTGAGCCACCCAGGTGCCCTATAGGTTACTTAAAAAAATAATAAAAATTTAGGTGTGCCTGGGTGGCTCAGTTGGTTAAGCGTCTGCCTTTGGCTCAGGTCCTGATCCCAGGGTCCTGGGATTGAGCCCCACATCAGGCTCCCTGCTCAGCGGGAAGCCTGCTTCTTCCTCTCCTTCTCACCCTGTTTGTGCTCTCTCTCTCTCTCTCTGTCAAATAAATAAATAAAAATCCTTTTAAAAAAATAAAAATTAAAAAAATAAGTTGCAATTGAATTTTTTAAAAAAAGAATTAACATCTGTTAAAAAAAAAAGAATTAACATCTGTTCATTTCACTGTCTATATTACTACATGTAATTTATAACTCAATTTTAAAATAATAACACAGGGGTGCCTGGGTGGCTCAATCATTAAGCATCTGCCTTCGGCTCAGGTCATGATCCTTGGGTCCTGGATCCCTGCTCAGCAGGGAGCCTGCTTCTCCCTCTCCTGCTGCTCCCCCTGCTTGTGTTCTCTCACTCTCTGTCAAGTAAATAAATAAAAATCTTTAAAAAAATAAAACAATAACACAGTCATATTTTGGATCATTTGGGTCACAACCTTAGACTCAGTCAATAATTCCCAGGATATTAAGTTTGAGGTAGGGTTAACCATTGCATTGGTACTGTTTGCTAGGATGCAATGGGAAGTTACTCAGATCAGAGGGCTGAAAGCTATTAGCAGAAGGGAGGAGGGGGAGTAGGGCCCAAAGCAGGGAGTGTCTTTTGTTTTGCCAGACCAGTACTTCCTGCCAAGGAGACACCTGGCTAGGTATTTTCCTGATAGCCCCTTGCATTAGCCATTCTGAACTAATTTGGAGCTGAGGGCTTACACAGAAGCCCCTTGAGCTGTCCTGAAGTTAGCTCATTATAATGCTAAGATCTCCTCCAATGGGTGGGGTTTTCTGCCATTTTTGAACATAACAATGTATGCTGTAGCATGTTGATGTGCTAGGCATGTGTAATTGAACCAAAGTGCCTAATAGAATATATATATGTTCCTTAATATACATACAAACTCCCTGCCCCCTAATACACTGAATAAAAGCTTCCTTTACTAACCGCATGGAGAGAGAGTACTTTGAGAGCTATCCCTGTCTCCTAAAAGTAATGAAAAGTTCTTTGCTTTCAACACTTCCTTGGGTTTTGTTCAATTTAGTGGACCCCAAGAGGTGAACCCCTTGAGTTCAGTTAAAGTATAAATGATGAACTAAATGGACAGTATTTAAATTTTTAAAACTCATTAGGACCTAAGAAATCAAAATCTTTTTCCTTGATAGGGTATGCACACATTTTTCAAGTTTAAGAAATATATCTCTAAGTTATAATGATACCCCAAGGGCAAGAACAAAGGTT